TATTATAGGTAATAAGGAGCTATAGCTCAAATAGTAGTTTCCGCTTTCTATTCTATTATCCCTATATATCCCCTATATTCTTATCCCTAAACCCTAAACCCCCTATATTTATGTCCCTACGCCCGGGGTCGCTGCGGGTGTCCAAATGAGAAGACTTGCAGAGACGGGAATCGCTGCTGGCTGCCTCAGAGTATAAAGCGACGGCGAGCAAAGCATGCTACAAGTGCTGTATACCTTTGATGATGATAGTAATAGTCATTAGTAGCTAGTAATTAGTAATAGTAGTAACGATAAGAATAGTAGTGATAGCAATAATTGTACTACGTAAAATACGTACAAGCCCTACAGCAAGTTCTTCCTGCTCGCAGTTCAAAATGTAATGTGCACAACTTCCCTCTGAAAGCAGTTTCTCTCCTACACCTGGCTTTTCCATTCTAGGCATCCCACCAGAGCTGGCCAAATCGCTGAAACACATTGAGCCAAATAGTTGTATTGAGGGTTTAGGGGAGTTTAGGGTTTAGGGTTCCTAAGGGTTATATGAGGCTAATGGAAAAGAAAATGGAAACTACTATTTAGGGTTTAGGGTTTTCCGCCGCGTTTTCTGCCTACCCAGGCCTAGCAATCGTAGATCAATGAGCAGATCGCCTGTCTTCAATCACTCACCCTAATGTTACCCCAATGGGATATAGACATATATAGCCTATATAATCCATTATAGCTGTTTCCATGTTCCTTTCCACAATCCATAATATTACCCCAGTATATATTACCCCAATATAACTCTATATATATATGTGTGTGTATGTATATGACCAAGTATAGTAGTTTCCACTTTCTTTCCCATTATCCTATTCTATACCATAATATATAATATATTCTACTCTGATATACTGTAATAATATACCATAATATAATAGAGCCCCGATGAGTAGCTGAGGATCCTGCCCCAGCCTCCAGGGAGTACTCCGCTACGCAGAGTGGGCCTTGTGCAGTTCGCGGGACTAGCACATGGGTAGTTCCCAAATTAGGGGTCCCTTTAAAGGGGTGCATAGGGTTTAGGGTTTAGGGTAGTTCCCAAAAATGAGGGTCCCATTTTGGTAGCCCTAAAATATCAGGGGCCGCAATATAACCTATAACCAAAAGGAGCCCATAATTTGGAGAACAGCCCACATGTTACAAGGTTTTCTTCAAGGGCTCTTAGGAGGAACCGTTTTAAGGGACCTCTTCTCCCATTACCTTTTCATAGACCCTACATAATGCCTACATGCCCCCTATAAAGGGTTTAGGGTTTATATAAACCCGGTAGTTTCTATATGACCCCCAAATAGGCTACAGGGGTCCCCATTAAGGTCTCCTGACGCCCCGAATATGGTAGTTTCCCAAAACAGACAGACCCCAATTATATAGACCCCAGTATACTGGAATCCTTGTTATTATGGGGACCCCCAAAATGGTACCCCTAAACCCTAAAACCCTAAACCCTAAATCCCTAAACCCCTAAAACCCTAAACCCTAAATATCCGAAACCAGAGGTTGTGGCTGGCCAGCGCTAAGTTGCAGAGATGGCCCTGGAGGCACCTCGAGCGGGAAGAATCTACCTGGCCTTATGCCTCGATATCCCTACATGAGTAGTGCCTTTTTGGTGGTTGAACCTAGTAAGATTATATTCCTTATTTAAAATACTATACACCAAAAGGAGGATATAATCTTACTCTATAATGGGTACCATAGTATCCCCAAATTAAATACTACTCATATGAGCTATAATCTAAACCTTAAAGGGGGTTATATAGGGGGTCATATAGGGGACTACTGTAAGGGCTAGTAAGGGGGATACTAGGAGTTTAGAGTCTAGCTCATATATATATACATATATACATATAATCCCTATGTATCCCTAATCTAACCCTACAATATTAACAATGCCCAATGTGTACAAATACACACGTATAGATGAGCCGTAGTCCAAACTCATGGTATCCCCTCAACCCGCTTTAAGGAGTTTAGACTACAGCTCAGATAGCACCGCGGAAGACTTGCAGCTACTTTTGGTGGACGCCCCGCTGCAATAGCGACTATTAGGGAGAATAGTGATTATACTCGGGTCCTGTTATATTCCTAGTATACCACAATTACAGGGTGGGGGGTCCTCCTAAATTATTCTTATCCTTACTATTATTATAGTCCCCCTTAAGTAGATAGAATATGGCCTTGGGTATGTTATAGTAAGATCCCCATATACCCTATATTCTACCTACTTGAGGGGGGCTATATTGCTGTTATTCGTATTATTACTAGCGGGGGAGTCCTCCTAACAGCTACTTTGCAGGGCACTCATGCGGGTGTTCGCCCCGGCAGCCATGCAAACGAGGCAGTTGCGGCCTCAGCTTTGTACTTCTCAAAGCACCCCTTTTTGGTTTAGGGTCATATTGGGGTTATATAGGGGTGTCATATAGGGGGGTTATATTGGGGCTATATAGGGGTTATATAGTCATAATGGCCAATAAAATGGAAACCACTATTTAGGGTTAAGGGGGGGTTTAGGGGGGTTCGGGGGTTATGGGGCTTGAAGAAGGTTTAGGGTTTAGGGGGTTGAGGTTTAGGGGGTGGGGGCTTTAAGGGCTCTAGGGTTTAGGGGCTTTAGGGTGTGTAAGTAGGGGCCTAGCTAATTGTAACAGGGCCTTTGGGGTAGATTATACTATAAGATTACAAGGGGTTAGATGGTATCATAGTGCAAGGGGTAGATTCTACCGTAGTATAGGGACTATAAAGGAGTTATCTGGGTTGTCTATGCAGAGGATGCAGTGGCTTGATGCAACTTCATTTGAAAAAGCTCTCAGTTTTTTTGGGGGGGCTCCAAACCTTCCATCTAAGGTTGCAACCTTGGGCACCTGGCCCTTAACCCTGGGATCCTTCCATGCCTGGTATATGTACTGCTAAGGGTCCCTGGAAGCCCTAAGTGCCCACATTCGTGGCTCATACTTCTAAATTCTGCAAGCTAAGTCTGAGGCACGCAGACAGACCTCAAGCAGTACCTGCTGGCCATGCATATGATACAGTAGTGATAATTGTCCTAATAGGAATGATAGTAGTAATAGTATTACTTTCTTAATAGTACAAAAAAATAATGCCAGTGCAGAAGCAGGCATGTTGATTGCCATGACCTGCAGGTGCTGCCATGTTTAGGAGAGCATGAGACGCGCACCAGCCCTTTTGACAGTCCAGGTCGCGTCCTTGTTGATACCTTCAGCAAACTGGACTACACTCGAGTTGCCCATGAAAGGCTACAGCAGCTTCTGGGAAAGTATGGGCGAGCGGAAGGTTGCCACAAAGTCAGTTAAAGCGCGACTACCTACCCTAAACCCTAAACCCTAAACCCTAAACCGAGAGCAACTGGCCAGGAGCCAGGCCCGTCCCAGCAAGCAATGTTGGTGCCAAAGCCTGGCTGATGTGCAGGTTTTAGGGTATATGGATTACATTGGGATAATGGAAAATAAAATGGATACTATAGAGATTATAGGGGTTATATAGGGATTATATAATACCCAATAATGCAGAATCAAATGGAAAATAAAATGGAAAATGAAATGGAAACTAGGGATACAGTGGTTGTGTTTCAGTTTCCCAAAATTAGGGCTACCTTTTTATGGGTCCCCGTAATAAGGATAAAAGTATTTCAGGGTCTATATTGGGGTCCCCCTATTTGGGGAACCTACCATGTTGACACACTGCAAATGTTGGTTGTGACTTGATCCAAAATGCTGAGGCTTGCACCGACACACCTCCCGTTGACACATCTTTCGCCTCAGTGTATCAAAAGCACGCAGCACACGGCTGAGTCTCAAAACTACTCTGTCGAACTATTACCACGACCCAGGTGGCGTACTGTTCTTATGTTTCTTGCATCATTGGAAATTGGTGAGTGTGAGCTCATTCCAGGACTTGGGAATTATGATGATGATGTTGTATTTGGGTGAGTGTGTTATCGCTTTCCAATCAACCGCACTCCGGTTCCTTGACAGCACTCCTGCAACCATGCAAAAGCCACAGGAGCGAGCCTCCATAGATGCATATGTTGTAGCCGTCGTCATGATCACACCTCTGGCCTGTAACGCGTTCAACACAAACCTCAATCCCTAAACCCTACATACCCCCTTATTCTCGTATATACCCCTTACCCACCCTACCCTGCAGGTACTACACTTGTTGATGCTGAACCATATATAGGGATTCTATACAGGGTATATTATGGGGATTCTACATGGGGATTATAATATGGAGATTACAAGGGATTCTATGGGGATTATATGGGGGGTCTATGGGGAATGTATGGGGACTCTATGGGGATCTGATGGGGAATATATGGGGATCATGTGGGGATGATATACGGATTTTTTGAGGATTATATGGGGATTATATGATGTGGAAATTAGAGGAGGCAACAGTGGTGGCACCGCGCAACAGCTTCAAGACGCATTTTGATCCTTCAAAGCCACAGCAGGCATAAGACACCTTTGGTGTAATACTCCTGCTAAAGCTGAAATGAATACTGATTCTACACGTGTATAATGAATGCGCGAAAACCAAGAGGAACTGGATCATTCTCTTGCAATAGTCACACCTTGGATTTTGGCTCTGATGCTCCACACCGGGCAGGCCGGCATGCAGTGTGTGGAGTAGCAATAATATAAATAGGTTGATATCAAAGATAATAGGAATACTTTCAGTACTAGTAGCAATAACAATACAAATAATAATTGTAGTAATAGTAGTACAAAGCTATCTACCGGAGGATGCCTTGCATTTGCCGGAGCTAGGCTGCACTAGCTTCGGGAACAGCGGTGAAACACATTGGGTCGTGCATTGGCAAATGAACAAATAGAAGAAGACGTCATCTCTGATAAAAGCAATCGCTTGGGGCTGAAAGGATCCCAGGTTGGAACATTTTGAACATCACGTCTTCTGCCTGCGTTGCGGACCGTCATGTATTGCAAACAACTCTACAGAATCACCGTGCTTGCCCTAGCCGAGGGCTTCATGCGCTGTGCCAGGCGTGCCACGAATCCGTCCAGGCGCGAGGCCATGGCCCTCTCCCGGACCTAGGCTGCCATCAAGCTGGCCATCGCCGTCAAGAAAGCTATATTATATAGGGCTAAGTAGATAGAATATGGCTTTGGGTGGATTATAATAAGATCCCCATGTATCCCATATTCTATAGCTCTGAGAGAAACTTAAGCTAAGCTCATCTGAACAGCAAGGTCAAGGCCTGTATTTCTAGTGCAGCACAGTCGCCGGCCGACCTACTTGCGGCTGCGGAGGCCAGCCACGGTCATGGGTGGAGCCGTCCTGGGACAGCGGCGTGAATCCTTCTACAAAGTGCCTTGCCTACTGTTACGATTTACTACTACTGCTCGTTTTTTTTTACGAGTTGGTAATTTCCGTAAATAAAGGGACCCCAATTGAGTGGCTCAATTGCGGACACTCAAGGCACCCCTAATTTTGGGAAACCCTGAATCTATACAACCCCTATACGAGCCATAGTCTAAGCTCCAAGGGTCCGCCTTTAGTAGTCCCCTATGTAAGCCCCCTTGAAGGAGTTTAGACTATAGCTCGTGTATAACTCCTATTATCCCCTTTAAAGGTACCCCTAATTTTAGGAAACCACCATAAACCCTAATCCCTGAATCCCCTAAACCCCTAAATCCTAAACCCTACCTGGCTTTGCCACGTGCAGGACAAGGCACCTCCCTCGGGCAACAGGTCGGCGTTCGGCCGTTGCGGCTCCAAACAATTGCCAGGCGGCCCACCGCCTCCACTTTAGGGTGTTTTTTAAACCAGAGGACTCTTACGTCTGCCCACTTTAGGGTTTAGGGTTTGGGGTTTGACAATCCGTACGATTCGTACTACAATGTCTACGATGATTGCCATTTCTTATTGATAAATTTGCTAGCATTACTATTGCCACTATTAGCATCAATACTCTTGTCACTGCTTTCTATTTCATTTACTGTTTGCTATTACTAAGCATTATGTTGACCATGACGCTTAAATTCAGTTTTGTCATCATGTGCACTTATTACTTGTTGTTATAGGCTGCTTGGGGTTGGGACAGGTGGTGGCAAGGACTCCACGCAACAGCTCTAAAGCGGCTTGTCCGACCCCCTTTCCCAGGCCTCACAGAACTCGGGATACTTCAGGCCCCTGGGGCCGCTGGCACCCCTGAAGTTCGGGTTGGGCTTCTTGGCCTCAGAGGCCAGCAGTGAGCAGGTTGCATGCTTCCAGCATGTCTTGCAGGTAAGATACAAAGCCACTCAATTACAAAGTTCCTGTTCTCTCTGCATGGGACATGTGTGGAAATGCGACCAGCGGCCAAGGCATAGATGGAGGCCACGTGCTTGGAGGAGAATGACCGATCACAAAGGCGAACTAACCTCGCAAGCAAGCTGACTCACAAGCTTGAGGCTTGAGAGGCAGCCGACTGAATCTGCTTCCAGTGACTGCACCAGGCGCTGGAAGGCAGTCTCATTGTAGCCGAAGCGCTCCCAGGCCTACTCCGTGCTCCAACGCAGCCCATGTGGCGTAATTCCGTACTATCAGTCAAAACATGGCGAAACGCCTCCTGCAGCGTCTTTTTGTGTTGTAGGAGGGTGTCATAGTACCTGAGCTCGAGAACATCTGCCACAACTCTTGCTGCTTGACATTAGACAGATTCGCAGCAGACAACGAAACGCAACCCACAGAGTGAATACTCACCGCTGCTTCGGCACTGCAGCCTTTTGCAGCCCCCTCTACATTGCCCGTCAGGCCGACTGAACCTTCTCTTCCAGCAGGGGAAGCACTCTGCGAGTCGACATAGAGCTACGTTCACAGTACGAACAGCCCTGCCGCTCCAGGTTCGTGCGAAGTCTGCGGTTGTTACAGTGCAACTGCAAACAACGCCTAAAAGCGAATCTGACGCAGAACATCCGGCGGACAGTGGACACGGGAGACATTGCCAACACCTAGCGGACCTAGCAACTGTTTAAGTTCTGTTGGGGGGCTCCCGAGCGCTAGATGGAATGCATGGTAGCAGCCACATAGTAAGTGGGGCAGTGACCTGTGTAGCATCATGTAGCATCTTTATCATCCAAAGCCACAGCATGACCCAGGGTGAGTTCATTTGAGCGATGTGGTCGGTGTCTTGATCATGTTCCGCCATGGCTGAGGCGAGGTGATCGCGAAAGAGGCTGATAAATGGATTTAAAAGCACAACATAACACATAAAACCAAGACTTGCGCACGCCCTATCCGCCTGATTGTTCCCCAAAATCCATCTTCCTAAACTTAGGGTCCCTCAATTGCTTGTTAGGTTGGCTTGACCTTGTTGCGTCCAAGCATCTCTCCAGCTCGCAGCGCCAGGCCCCTCCAGACCAAGGATGGATTTGACAATCTCAATGAACACACTCAGCTTCAGCTACGAATTCACGGTCAACAAGGAAAAGCAAGAACAGCGAAGCGCAAGCTGAGCCTGGGAAAGGGTGCAACAGGAGGTTTCAGCAATCGCTCTGCAATGACGTCCACTGCAAAGCGGCGGACAGCATCGCACGAGGACAGCTCCCGTCCTGTGCCAGGGCTTCTCTTACTGGGTCTTAGCAGGGAGTGAGGGAATGTGATCCCGTATATCATCCCTATACAAAAATCCAGTGAGTTCTTGAAGTTCCAGCTGTCTGCGGGTAGCTCAGACGTCTGCAGTCCAGCTGAGACTTACAAATTTTGTGACCGCCTCCCCAGGCAATCGCAGCTCTCAGCATCACCTCGAAGAATTGCCTGAGTTTGAAAATCGGCCATGCGCAGCTGGAAAAACTTAAAAGCTCGATAATGCACAGGTACAGCTGCAAGACCTGGTACATATTTAGTATCATTTCGCATTGCTGCATGCAACAAGAATCGTTTGCACTTGCCTTCGTGTGCCAAAGGTCTACTAAAGTGACTACTGTATGGGGCATGTACAGAAATCGAACAGCTGCGGAAGGATGTCATGCAACCAGGGGATGACCTTACCACGAAAATGTTTAGCCAATAAGCCGCACATGCCTCTTTCCCGGCACTTTGTGAAATTGTCATGAGGTCTACCTGAATGAGCACATGAACTCACGGGGAAGCCCATTCTAGAACCCAAAATACTCCAATCTCCATTGTACGGACCCCAAAAAAAGTACAGTACCCTAATTTTGGGAAACACTACGCCCAAAGTCCTAAAACCTATATATCCCCTGGATAACTCCTACCAACCCCTTCAAAGGTACTCCTAGTTTTGGGAATCCCCCACTTTCATCCCTCAAATTGACGCAACATTGATGCAGGCGGCGGCCGACTGACAGGCGCGCCCTGCGACAGGCACGGCAGGTGATAAATTCCAGCACAATTCACACCAGACGGTCTAGGGTTTAGATGGGTTATGTGAGAATAATGGAAAAGCAACTACTATACGTTACTGAATCGTTTAGGATTTAGGGCTTTTCCCTTGCAGAAATTTTTGAGGGGATGGCATTGTGATGTGTTGATAGCCCGACTGCGAGGGAGAAAGCCGCAGCACGATCCATCTTTTCAAGAACTAGGGGTTGGGTACTGCCCCCACCCTGTTACAGTCTATATTGGGGGTCATAGTAAGGCAATATATACGTAACTAATTATGTGTTAATTCGGGGCAGTGCCCCAACTAGAGGTCTGACGTCAGGGGGCTTGGTACTTTGAGGTAGGGATTGTTTAGGTGCTTTGTGTTTTGGATTGTATTGTGGTTCTTGGTTTTGGTCGCGTCTGCAGACGCCTCACAAGGCTTCGCGTCTTGGTGGATGGGTTTGGTTTTGGATTGTGTTATGGATTATTGGGTCAATTGTTGGGGGCACCCTGTGCTTTGTAGGTTTAAGGGATTGATTTCGTAGGCAGGTTGAGAAGTGGTGTAAAAGCACGGGGGGCGATGTGAGGTCTGGGGTAAGGGCGGTGCTTCGGGTTGTGTGTGCGGCGTTGTGTTGTCAGGTGCTTTGGTTTTGGATTGTATTTGGGATTTCCGTGTGGGATTTGGGAGTTGCTTTGTGTTTTGGTGTTTTGAAAGGTTCAAGCTTTCCCTCTACTCCCAATTGTCGTCTCCTGTAGGCTTTTTGTTGCTTCCGCTCGCCACGGATCAAGCCGACCGATGCGGCGCGCGGTAGCGATAACAGTACCAAATCTTAGCGTAAGGCTGTCTTGCAAAACTGTTTGCTGGCAACTGTTGCAACCGCGGTCAAGGTTGTGCCTATCCCTTGACGTTCACAGGAGTTCGAAGTTCTGGAGTATTTCAAGTTCTCAGCCAAAGCAACTTGGCACCCTGCTTGTTCTTTTATCGCACTGTCATACTTTGCTCGAAGACATTTATCACGGCTGGGGTTTCTTGGAAATTTGCCAAAGATTTGCTTGAAGGTATGGCTTGATAACATGTTGCGGAGTGTCAGAAAGAGAGGAATCATCTCATGCAGCTCGTTTCAGGTGCAGCCCGCTTCGGCCTGCGAAGTCAACTCCCAGCAAGGCTTTTCGAGAAAGGATATAACCCCGATATAGCCCCAATATACTATAGTATAGTTTCCGTGCTCTTTTCCATCATCCACATATAACCCCCACATAATATTGGAGTTTCCATTTTGTCTTCCATGATCCCAATCTTGCCCCAATATGTGGCTCCAGCCTCGTCGTTGCGCTGCCGCTGCTCGCTGCCTTTGGCGTTGCCTACCGCTGGGGGCGGGTCCTGGGAGCCGCAGGCGCTCTGCGCGGTGCAGCCGCGTGGTTCCACCCGTTTGAGCTAGTGTGAAGACGCCCAGTGAGATTTGGTAGTTTCCCAAAATAGGGGAACCCCAATATAGACCCCAAAATACTACAGTCCTCATTATTGGGACCCCCAAAGAGGGTACCCCTAATTCTGGGAGACCCCCATGTAGAAAGTGCAGGAATCAAGGCTCCTCCTGGTGATTCTCGAAGCTCTGGACAACCATCCTGAGCACCGTGGCTGAGAGACGGCTAAGCTTCCTCTTGCGTCACATGTGAGCTACAGTCTAAACTCCCACTATCCCCATGAATAGCCCCTATCATGCCCTATATAGCCCCCCTGAAGGTGAGTAGATTATGGCTCATATGAGCTACTGTCTAAACTCCTAGTATCCCCCTTAATAACCCCTATAGTACTCCCCTATAAAATCCCCTATATATCCCCCCATTAAGGAGTTTAGACTA